TCAAATAGAATGCTAGCACCTTCATGGTTCCCATGGTCAGAAGTCATTTCTCTCTCCTATTACTCCCACAGCACTTTAACCACACCCTTACCATAACACGTACCCACATTCCCCCTTGTATTTTAGCAACTGATATAAATGACTCATTAATCCTGCCTGACAAGATTCATTAAATATTATCATATTATCTCTGTTATGCCACACAATGACTATAATTGTATCTGACACAGACCTGGGGCTCAGTAATGGCTTTTGAAAAGACCCTTGATTACAACTGCCATTGTGAACTTCAAGTTCGTAAGGCATCAATAAATAATCCAGACTGCCAATGTATTCATATGCAATGAGAGCTAGAACTGCCAAGGCAATAGGGGGCTCATCTCAGGTTAGCCAGCATATTTTTTCCTATTAGAGGAAGCACATATGGAAAGCTAAATTAGGATCAGAAGGTTGCTTGGGAAGCAAGGAGAATAAGTTGGGCAATTTTCGTGAACAGAGCAACAGGCTAAATGGCTTGATCATAAAACTACACCCACTACAGGGCCAGACTCTCCTGTTCTCAGCTCTGGGCTTCATCTTTGCTTAGTGCTCCATCAATACTGACAAATTTTTCCTTTATGACTATTTGTCTATTTCCACCCTAACTATTCTCTTTTTTTTAAATTTTTTTATCATTTATTTTGCCATTCTCAGCCCTGGCTGCATTTTAAAATCACCTGGAGAACTCTCAAAAACCCTGATACCTGGGCCATTCCCGAGGACCAATTAAATCAGACTTTCTAGAGGTGGGTCTCAGGCCTCAGGATTTTTGATAGCTCTCCAGGTGATTCCAAGATGCAGCCAATGTTGAGAACTAGTACTATATTGATAAAATTTTTGCTTACCTATGTTAATATCACCAAGCAGAAAACAGACAAGTCCAACATTTCCTGCCTTTTTCCCTGATATCATATGTTCTCTCCACCCCCCTCTCCTGAGGATATGTGATCTCACCTATTCTGTAGTGTGTCTACTAATTTAATGCCTAGGTGTCTGGAGACGCCTTGTCTTCACCCAAATGGAAGGCTTTCAGGAAGTATCTCACAGGCCTCCAGTGCAGCACATTGTTAGGTCTATCAACACAGTAAGGTAGGACAAAATACTTTTAACATATACAACAGGCAGAAGGATTCAATATTTTATTATTACCATCAGTGTTTGACAGAAATGAGGTGGGAGGCAGCTGGAACCAAGAGGTAAAGAGTATATCCAAAAATATCTTGAGTGCTAACTTCTTTGTGGTTCACTATGTGGGTCCACCATGTGATAGAAAAATGAATCAGAAAAAGATCAATCTCTCATGCTGAGAATTTCACGTGGTTCATACGATGTAAACTGTGCTTTGTACCATGAGAGATAAAGATGCTATGAGAGTTGGGGGGATTGCGATTGGGGTGGGGAGTGATTTCTAGCCAGGAGATTATGAGAGGCTTTGTTTATGGGAAAGGAACCTTGTTTATTGGAACCTTTGATTATGGGAGAGTAGGTGGCATTTAAGCTGGGCCTGGGAGTCAGGGTAAGATTTGAAGATGTGGGACTAGGAGGAAGGGCATTCTCAGAGGATATGGCCTAAGCAAAGATGAAAAGGCGTGAAACTGCGGAGGATGGGCAGTAGTTCCATTTCCTTCCTACATGGAGGAAAATAGAAGACATTAATATTTGAAATATTCTGTCATTCTGGTAGTTTTGGAACTATTCCCCATCAAAGATTTGGTTAAATCTTGACCAGAAATTATGAGAGTTCAGTTGTCTGATGTTTAACACTCATAATCTGATGTATGTGTCCAAAGGGTTGGGTAGTAGATGCAGAGGCCTCACTCATGCATTTATATATTTCAGTCTTGAAAGGCCCCAAATTAAATTATAGAAGAGGGAATCTGGAGATAAAGAGACCAGCCATTTCAATGGTAGTGATAGCATTTTTCTGTGAGGTGCAATTTTGGTCACCTGCCATTTCCTATACTATTATTTTACCTTAATAAAAAGAAGATAACACCAGCCCTGTGCAAGTTAAGAGTAAATTTGGGTCTGATGGTGAGAAATATCTCTGTTAACAAGAACGGAGCAATCTGTGCAAGTCACTCCTCAGGAGTCTGGGGAAGTGGCAACCTGCCAGCTCAGCTGCACACAGAGCACAGGCAGCCCCACAGCTGTCTCTCAGCACTGCCAGCAGCCATTACCATGGCAATGGCCCCTCCCAGGAGAGCAGCTCAGCCCACTGAAACCATCCATCATTTAAAAATCAACACAGATGATTCCAGATGAGATCCTGTGCAACAACCACAAAAATCTTTTAGAACTGTCCTTTCTAAGGACGTAATTCAGACAATATAGACTGTGAATTCGATGGGTGATTCTCAAAATTCAGTATGCTTTGGGCTCATTTGGCGGGCTTGTCAAAACACAGATTGCCAGAACCCCACCCCCAGAATTTCTGATTCAATGCAGCTGGCTGGGGTAGAGGCAAAGAATTCGTACTTCTAGCAAGTTCCCAAGTGAGGTTGGTGATACTGGTCTGGGGTCACACTTTGAGAACCACTGGGTTACATACTAGCATTGTATCACTGTTGATTTCCTGATTTTTGATTGCTGTACTATGGTTATGTCAAAGAATGTCCTTGGTCTTGGAAAATACTCAAAGTTGTATTATATTTAGGACAAAGGAGTATCATGTCTGAAACTTATTCTCAAATGGTTCGTTAAAAAATGTAGATAGAAAGATAAAGCAAATGTGGAAAAATAACAATTTGGGAAATCTGGATAAAGGGCATACGGAAGTTCATTGTGTTATTCTTGTAACATTTCTGGTAGTTTAAAATTACATTAAAATTATAAATTTTTTCAATTAATACAGGGAAAGAAAGTTATAGCAATATATACCATGTATGTCTAATGTGGTAGCGAGAAGCCACATATGGTTATTTATATTTAAATTAATTAAATTTAAATAAAATTTAACATCCAGGCCCTCAATTGCACTATCCGCACTTCAAGTGCTAAAGAGCCATGTATATGACTAGTGACTACTATATTAGACAGCACAAGTATAGCCCATTTCCATCAGCACAGAAAGTTCTGTGGAATAGTGTTGACTACAGTTTAAAATATTCTAAGACATGGAAAGAGTCTTTGAAAAAGTCAATGTCCTAAAAGCAGCAATAGAGATAGCAGTAACAGTTTAAGCAGTATGAGTCAGTTGTTTCTAAAATAACAGTTTATTAACTGAAGGAGGCTAAAGAAGAAATATGATGAAATTATAGCAGGTGGATCATAGTATGCAACATATGCATATGCAAGTATCTTTAGCTTTGCATGAATTGGTGACATATTTGCCAGAGTAACTATTCAATATCACTGCTCACACCTGTCATCATCTTACTGATTTTGTCAACAATCCATTGGATGATGGACAAGCAGATATCCAAATGACCTGGTTCTTCTCCACTCACCCTCTGCCCCGTCCACTTTCCTTCAAGCAAAGCAGGGTCAAGACATAGATGGAAAAATACCCAGCAAGGCCAAGGCTGACCTGAAGGGGAATGGCCAAGACATGGAATATTTCAAACTTGTTCAGATATTTTAACTTGGCTATTGGTTTCATTTTGGGTGATACATCAGCTAATGTGTAAAGCAGGCAAGGTTGTTTTCGCTGCTATCCCTTTTCCTTCTGAGCTTCTTTTCTTTCTCCTGTCTCTTCTTTTTTCTCTCTCAAACAAATGGCACCTTTAAGTTAGGTCGAGTTGTCCAAAGTTTCTGGCCCAAACAGGACTGTCATCTACTCTAAAGAGCATCTTTTTTTCCTCATGTCTTTTGGGCTCCAGCAACATCCAAGAGATAAGCTGACTTCATCCTAAAGTATGAACAGTACCAAATTCTCCCAAGGTGCATTTGGCTAACCCTAGCTTCCATAATATTCTGGGAGATACTTTTTGAGCATAGTCATCTTTGGGTATTCTCTGCCTGACCCAACCCCTGTCAATCCCTTCTCCATAACCTCTCAGGAGTAAACACACAGATCCACACTGCAGCTACACATGTACATTTTCCCCTCTCCCGCTTCTCTAAGCAGCTTCACACTCCCTTGGGGCTCAGTAAATACACAGCTATTACTTGGATAGAACTCAGAGTGGTTGGAAAAATTGTAAATACCTCAAGCTGTAAACCACAAATTGATAAATATGAGGAATTCTTGTGGGGAAAAAAGCCATACTTCCATTTCTAAACTTCCACTGAAGAAATTAAACCATAGAGCTGGAATTCAAAACTCAGGACATGTACCTCTACTCTAACCAAGCATCTGTTAGAGCATTTAAATGTCCATCTAAGCATCAGACCATTCTAGAAGGTCTGCCCCTCCCCCATCAAACAATTGTTGAAGCATTCTTCTGCAGTAATTTCTCCTTTTTTGTTTTTTTGTTTTTTTCTTAGAGATAGGGTCTTACTCTATCACCTAGGCTGGAGCACGACGGCATGATCACAGTTCACTGAAGCTTTGAACTGCTAGGCTCAAGCAATCCTCCTGCCTCAGTTTCTCGGCTAGCTGGAACGACAGGCTCATATAACCACACCCTGCTAATTTTTAAATTTTTCTGTAGAGATGCGGGGGTAGTGGGGGGGTCTCACTATGTTTCCTAGTCTGGTCTCGACCTCCTGGACTAGCAATCCTCTCACTTTGACCTCCCAAAGTGCTGGGATTACAAGTATGAGCAACCACACCTGGCCTCCTCCTTAAAATATATTCGTTTTTACTGAGTTTGCCAGTGGAGGGAAAAACCCTTCCTTAGAAACAAGTTTTGTCAATTATCTACAGATAATCATTCTTAGCTGCAAAACATGAGATCCCAGGTCTTTATAGTTCAATTTATGGTTTGATAATTGGACTTTTAAGATCTCTTTATAGAAGGCTTTTTACCATTCAGCATATTTTTATAAAGACTTCCAAGAGAAAAAGAGAGTCTCACCTCACAGTACTCCGTGATAATGCAGAAATTATCTTGCTCCACAAAACTTGCATGGAACTTGACAATGGCTGGGTGGTCCAGCTTGGAGAGGAGCTGGGCTTCCAAATTGGCCTGCACAGTTTCATTTGGATTTAGTTCTCCAACAGATATTTCCTTAAGTACCTTTCTGCAGTCAAAAAAATTTTTTTTAAACATTTACAGCCAAAAAACACATTTAACAAATATCATCAAGTGGTACAGAGCCACTAATTAATGCCCAGGTTGTGACCTACTCATATATCTGGTATTGCCTATTATGACACTGTGTCTCCTGGTGGGACCTGGGCCTGTTTTCCTGTCCTGCTTCCCCAAGGCCTCTGACCTCCTCATCTGTGTACCCTACAGTTCTGTAAGGGCAGATATGGAACTAATCTTGAGCAATATTGCTGGGGTGGCCCTTCCTCCACCTCTCTAGATGTTTCAGTGTCTCTTGGTTTCTCTTATAGTTATCTATTTCTGTCTGTCTCTTTCTATGTGCGTTCACACACACACACACACACACACACACACACACACACATATATGTAATCCATCACTCTCTCTGTATCTTATTCTTTCTTCGCCTCTTTCCTTCTCTGTCTCTGCCTCTTTGTGTCTCTCTTTGCCTCTGTGTATGTATTTACACATATTTACACACACTTACAGGCATGCTTCTCTCTCTCAGCTTAAAGTTTTCCAAATATATTGACTTAATATTGGTAGGAGCAATATTTATTTATTTTCTTTTTAAAACTATCCTTGGCATATCATACTTTATTACTATCAGTATTTAAAAGGAAAAATTAACTAAAACCATTAATAGAGATATTTAGTATTTCTAACATGTATAAATGAAAGAGCTCATTAAATCCCCAAGCCATTAATTTAAAAATTGTGATAACTCTATGAGGAATAGACCAAAACATTATCTCTTCCCATCTAAGAAAAAAAAGAGTCTGATAAACAAATCAATTATAGTACCAAAGTGTAAACTAGACTATTGGAAAAAAATACCTTAGAACACCAATTATGTTTGCAGACACAGTCTGCTGATTATAAGTAAGCACTGGCAGTTCATTAAGGCAAGTTCAGCAGGACCAGCAATAGAAAGCATTTTACAAAAATCTTCCTTAGGAGTAGCTACCTATGCATGTCAATAAAAATGTATTATCGTAGAAAATTTCTTTAGGCCCTTTAACCAGCCCATAGATAAACCATCATTCTCCAGTCCTTCCTAACAGATGCTGACAGATGCCCTTGCCACAGGGAATGCCTCCAGCTAGTAAGCTCTCCTTGACATGCCCATGAACTTCTGCCCTCCCAGTTGAGATGTGTGCTTACCCAAGTCATTGTGTTTATTCCCAAGTCTGCTAATGCCAGTTATGCTCATCATTGTAAATTTATGACTTCAGTATAACTTAAATGAAGAGTGAGCGTGAGAGTTATCTCTGCTAGGAAAACTAAGTCAAATGAAAATCGAAAACCTTGAAAATAAAAAGTTGCAAAAATAAAAAGCTGTCAAGTAACTGAAAAGACAGTTCTGAAAAGGTTAAAAATGTGAAAATCTAGTATTCTAAATTCAGATTGTTACAGAAAAATAAATCTAGAAAACTAGGTCCTAAAAAATAATATAATAATAATATATATCTTATGGATGTAGTTTATGCAAAAAAAAAAAAGATGAAGAAGTCTCTAACCAGAGGACACTGAATGCTGGCTATACAGCCAAAAACTGGAGACAATGTACAATGATACATTTTAAGTTGATGTAAATGTTTTAATTAATGTCATTTTATTTTAAAATAGTTTCCTTTTTTTAACCAAGTACCAGCTCCAATCACATTGGAGAGAAGAGCTTCTACCATTTTTAAAAATGTGATTATACTATTAACTTTTCAGTAATTCAAACAAGCCTCTCCCTCTGTTTTACGATAGAAGAACCATAATATCCTCAGGCATTACCAGAGGTAGAGCTTTCTTCTTGTTTCATATTCAGGGTCTAGAAGTTTTGATATGGCAGTCAGCACACTATTGTATAGTATTCCCCCATACCATTTCTCAGTGAGAGACTACGATCAAAATAAATAAATAAATAAATAAATAAATAAATAAAATTTTAAAAACTCATTACAATTCTAAGTTAGGAAATCCATCCTACAAGCTGACAGCCTAAGTAGGAAAATGTAGAAACTGCCCTTATCCTATTCCGGGGTTGGGTAACATTTGACTTTTTTTTTTTCCCAGAGCAGTAAAAGCTAGGTTAAGTTTACATTCTCCAAAAATCTCATAAGGAAAACCTTCTAATCCAAGATGACCATTACTGGGAAGTCACTTTCCCTAAAATTTGAGTCCTTTAATATTTTATTCACTTTAAATGTTCTCCATGGTCTTCCCATTCTGAACTCATCTCATCCCCAAAAGACACCAACAGCAGGCATAAGCTGCTTCCACAGAGGAGGCCAATTTGCATTAGAAAGGGCAGCTCTGCCTCAGGAGCCTCACAGGCAAGGACTCCACTATGCCATTAACAGGTGTCTTTCAATGTGAATGCAACACAGAAAGCTGGAACACTTGTCTTCCTTCCCCTAACAGGTGTTTTCACATTGGTTTCAAACAGCCTATTACGCTCCTACTTAATAAGAAGTAGATTCTAGAGAAATGCCTGCTTGGTAACATTCTGTAAAGACTGTTCTATCAAGATTTGGTTTAAAATGACCTAATGTTATTAGGAGTGGCATTTCAGACTGTTAGTATACCCAAAGAAGCTTGAAATGACATACAAGACTATGTTTTTTTGTCACTGAAGATTACAAAGCAGCAGGTGAAGCACAATGACATCTTCGTAGAGCTTTTTCAGTAATTTACTGTACCCCAGCTAGCATGCAGTTATAAAAGTCACAGTGGTTAAGCATGACAATATAAAGTCTTACAAACCTGCAATATTCTCTTGCTGTGAAGGAACAAATGCTATAAAAAGCTTCAAGATACTTATTTTTCCTTGCAAACACCAACTATTGTGCAGCAGAGCATGAGATTTTACATACAAAATGTAACTACCTGAGCCCCATCTGGCACCCTGATGATAAAGCATAACCCATTTGTCCACAATTTGGCAGATGAAGGGAGCGCTATTAAGACAGGTGATATCTATTATAATCATCTCATAGATGATGCAGAGACATTCACCTTCCTTGCTTGAAATCATGTCACTGAGCTGGCAGAGGAAACTCTCATTGCACATCACTTAATACGAGATCCATATCAGCCAAAGACAGCATGAAAACTTACCAAGTCAGGGACAGCTTGTTACTTGCCCAGTGATTCCCAGTCTGTCACCCCTCCTAAATAACACGACAGACATTTATTTTATCAGAGCCTCAACTCAGGAGAAATTTCATGACAGTAGCAAAATTAGGCATCCCTTGGAGACGTACTCATTTTGCAAACTTCCCAAGTTACATGCTTTCTTTCTTTCTAGAATCAGCGAACTGACAAACTTTGGAGAATAACTTTGGAAATTCGAGATAACTATGACTAATTTCATTCCCTTGAAATTGGCCTATGTTTTGTAGAAATGGGGAAGATGATATCTTTGAGATATTCATTAAGGGCTATTTTTCTCCAAATTTTCACATATCTTTTCACATTTTCCCCCATTTAACCAGCAGCATGCGCTGCTTCAGGAAAAAGGTGACATCACCACAGAGAATATGAGTCAAACATGTCCTGAGTTTTTAAAGAAAAGACCAAGGCTACAGAGAAAGGATCTGGAGGAACATATGAACAGTGAGTGGGTGAGCATTCTTCTGCCAGGTGAGAAAGAGATCTTTCTCTAGATCAGGGGAAGGGGACAGGGTCAGAGGGCAGGTAAAAAAAATTAGGAACTGCTGAGCCCTTGAAAACAGTTGCTGTGCTGTCAGGTCCAGAAAGGCAACTAAAAAGAGAATTCCAAGATGGGTAGGAAGGTCTGAGAGGAAGAGACCTGTGCTCTCCCTCCAAAGTAGGGCTTACAGGATTGCAGAACACCCACATTTTCTTATGTCTAGCAAGGGTAAGGAGCTGCAAAAAGCTCTCCAAGGGGCGTGTAAACAGATGGGCCTAAGAGAGCTCTAGAATCTCCGGTACCCCAGGAAGGCATGGGAAGCAGCAGAATGAGATGCCATGCAGTCAACAGCCATCTCAGTGAGGGTCAGTCAGCTGGTAGAACTGGAAACCTTTGCAGTAGAGACAACAGTCCTTTCCTTTCTGATTTAACTATTAACATTCATTACAGGTAACTAGTAAATACCTACTACATGACTACAGTGTGGTGGGCACTGAGGAGTTAAGGATCTCTGCTTTTGTGTCTACTGGGAAAGATAGACAACAGGTAAGTGTGCATGAATGTGTGTATATATCATGTATGGTTATGTTTTTCAAAACTTCAAATTCCGATGAATGCTGTGAAGTTGAGGTAAGGATGTCTGAGGCCCTTCTGCTTTCAGAACTGTGATCCTGATGTGATCAGCAGCTACTGTACCCGCTTAGCCTAAGTTACGGGAAATTTTCATTTCAACTTAAATGAGTAACTTTTTGGCTTTTGATTTTGCTTGTGTGTGTGCGTGTGTGTGTGTGTGTTTTATCATTTGCCTGTTTTACAAAGAGAGATTATCAAATATAATCAGGAGTTTTAAGATTTTTCATCCCTCTTGGAAGGGAGGAATTATTTTTATCGACTTTCTTAAATGGGAAGGTCTCTTTTTTCTAATTTACAAGGAAATAGTTTCATTATAGAAAAATTTGAAAACACAACATAAGGAAAATATTACCCACAATCCAACATAGAGACCATCAGAATTAACATTTCTGTGTATTTCCTTACAATCTTTTTGCTACATGTATTTCTTAATAGTAGAGACCAAACAGCTTACACAATTTGCTTACTGCTGTTTTCATGAGACATTATGATAGCAGACACTTGTCATTTGTGGCTGCCCACTTTAGACAGCTTCCTTACATTGTGGCAGATTCCTGGGCTGTGAGTCTTGCCTCCCCTGGAGAGAGAAAAACAGACAAACCAACCCTATGACTCCCAGCCTCCCTTGAGCTTGGGTGCTGATGTGTGACCTAGGTTCTGTCAGTCAGCTGCATCCAGTCAACACTTTGATG